AATGGCCAGCTGTAAATGTAACTGTTGTCTATCATGGGGATTTTAACGTCATATTCTTAATTTTGGGGTGTTAATTGTTTCTTATATTAACTTGAGTGCAATACTACTTTTTTATTCTGCTTGCGGTCGCGGGCAAAGCATTAGTGCGTTTGTATTGGTATTTAATAAAGTCTGTTTTTTTATCAACTTACACTTACACTTTTATCAACTTACACTTTTATCTTTTTCTTATTGTCAAGCGCTTTATACATTAGCCTCTGGCTCGGATATGGAAGGCAACCTTATCACACGTTTGAATTAATAAATTGATTGATTGATTGATTGATTGACTGATTGATTGACAACAAGCTTGAAATACAATGTTGAAGCCCCAATAATACATGCCTGGAGAAAACGGTAAGAAGTAATGCTTTATCTTGCCTTTTAGAATTGAAACAATTTATGACCAGTATTGAAGCAAACCAGCTCTAAATCACATTGAATAGCAAGCATGGAATTACATACAAACAGATGGAACAAAATTTCCCGTTAAATAGTGACCCGCCAGACGAGGACAAGCTCTCCTCGTCGAATTCTTTTTCTTCTGCTTCTTCAGGAAAATCACTTGCATCTGCAGCATCGCTGGGATATGCATCATCAGGGGCATCTGTAGCACCAAAAATAATCCTAGGATCCCTTAAATCTTTAGCAACAATAGCTTTTCCTCCAACACGAACATTCGGAACCATGAAGCCAGCCCCTGGAACAGGGTGATTTGCGGTAGCAAAGCGATCTTCATCATCACTACCCTTCGCAATGACCCCAGCAACTTCATTACCCAGAAAAACAACAGCATGACCTGCCTCTTCGGCATCTTCGTCACCTCCAACACCTCCAGCATTACGAATGTTAGACCCTAAAATTACAGGGGCACTGGCTTCTGCAGCATCATCGACATCTTCCGCGCCACTAGCTTCTCCACCACTCTCTTCTGTCTCGCCAAAGTCAACTGCCTCAGCACTGGCATCTTCCACGCCACTGGCATCTTCGCGTGCGGCAATGGAAAGTGTACGATCACGTGAATCTGCTCCATAAATAGTATGTCCAGCATTTTCGGCATCTATAGCACCGACAAGAATTGAAAATTAAAAAGTCAAAACATTTTTGGCACATTTTGGAGAGACTTAGAATATAGTTTAGACTATTTAACGCCCAACATCCGGCAGAGTGTTTAGCCCATCGCTTAAGGTTACTTCCCGCCTTCACGGGTGTGAAGCCTGGAACGAGTTCAAGAGCCCACAGATGAATGGGCTGAACAAAATGACAGAAGAGAAGGAGCACAAAATTCGAGACTTCCCAGTCTTTCAGATATAGCCACAGCAAAGGAAATAATGGCAATATGTAATGATCCATCCTTCACGCGCGCCAGTTTCAATTAAATCCGATACGATTAAAACACAATTTAAGCAAGTTTTTTTTTTTCAGGAAGTGTCAGGAGCCGCTAAGGCGTGAGACGACCAAGGGTTCTTCCATTGAATTTATCGGCTATCGGATGCCGCCACACGAGCAAAATTGCTGCACAGTCTTATTCACAAGGCATCAATCAACAAAAGAGTGTCGGGGTTTTTCGATATTCTGATTGGTTGTCTAGATATCCAAATCTAAAGCAGGAGTGGCTAAAAATATACAAGTCGTGTTGCGCAAATGGACGCCCCGGGAAAAATATGTTAATTAAATATCAAAATTTCCCGACGCACATGTCATTATCCCTGGAATGTTCAAGATAAATTTGACGAAAATTCGTCAAATCTGCTTACCCTATAAATTCACTCAAAGTGGAGGTATTCCTCTTAAAATCAAATGCGAGATTTTAACTCGTAAAGATTGTAACAACTCGCGCTATGCCAGGAGATTGTCTCGCCTTATGAAACCGCAAACCAATGGAACAACAGCACCTCCTAGCGTCAATGACAATGGATCATGATTTTCCGGGAAAAGCATCGCATTGCAACACGTTTTCTATCTCGCTGTCGCATTGAAGAGAAAGACACAAAAACGGGCAAAGTAGCCAAAGGCAAAAGAAAAAATGCGCGATATAGACAATATCAAATAACATGAAATACGGTTTCGCCCATTTAGCGATTATGACATCTTCCTGGTTTATTAACTTAATTTGAAAATACCTTTTTTCTAGATAACTCGGCCGCTTTTTGAGATTTTTAATATTTTCCTTTTGTAAACTTAAGATAAAATGACTTACTTAAATTTGTCAAGGAAAAGAATAAACGATTTTTTGTGCCCTTGAAGGTGGGAAGTAACCTTAAAGATTTGGAAACGTGAAACAGTTAGACTATTTGATTGACGTTGCACTTTTTGGACAGAATACGGAAAGCTTTTCAGCGTCGTTTGCATTGGTGGATACTGATCTCTTTGATAACATAACATTAGAGTTAGTGGGTAACCCTGTTGCAGAACAACTCTTTATTGGATTTATTTTAAGGCTGCATTTAACAGCTGCAACTCAAACTGTCAATAAAGTTGACATTTACTTGTGATAATACATTGTTCGTGGCTAGTCTTACGCAGCTCGTTTCATCCCGGCCAAGGGACTCATCAGAGACCTTTCTGCTTGGCAACCTCTTTGGGAATCGCGCCTTAAGTCCCGTTCGCTAATAAAATGATGACAGTAATCTCCCCTTATATCGCATAAGGATTCCCGATCGCACAAATTCACGAGTGAAAATTGACAATAAAGTTGACAGTTACTTGTGAAAATACATTGTTCGTGGCTAGTCTCAAGGTTAGTGCCTGGTCTAAATCAGTTCAAAGTGTATCGTTAACATAATTGTGACAGCGTATTCCGTTTTCCTTGGTTTACCTGTATCGACGAAAAAAACTGCAACAACAGGGTCGGAATTTTAGCGCATGCGAACGAAAATTGCTCCAAATTAGTTTGCGCTCTACGAATTCTTCGTGTATTTCTTGGAAAAGTTTGATCTCCTTAGGAATCCATGAGATAATAAATTAGTAGCATTCTGGGGTCAACTGCTTAAGAAAGAAATTGTATAAATCTTTCAATTCTGAAAGAGAGACTACGCTTCTCTTAATTCCACAAGTAAGTGAATCCAAAACGGCAGAAAAAGAAAAATTGTTTCAAAACACACTCATGCCTTACCATCATTTCTTGGGAAAGGAACACCCCAGAGAGTTCTCAACAAAGCTACAAAACAAAGGAAAAGCAAACTCTTCGGTGCCATTTCTCTTTTGTTCTTTGACTCTGTCTCTGCAGGTCACATTTGCCCAATAATGTGTTCGTTTTTCACATTTTATTAAACTACTTATCAGGTAGATCAGGAATGTGCTTTTTTTTTTAATTGTTGATTATCGGTTGAAAGTTATATTACGCGAAGAGATCGCTTTAATTTTAGAAACAGTATTAGGCCAGGGTAAGTTAAAGAGGAGTTGGCCAAATCAACTTCATTAAAGGTTATATTAGAATTTCATTTACTGAGTACAATTGCAATTCTGTCTCAATTTCGAATGTTCCATGCCGCTCAAATAATATTGCGTTAATTAAATCCGAAAGTTTCCCTCATGAATATTCCTTTTTACTATTATTCTCGAATCGTCTTTGTTTTCACAGAAACCGTCATTCATGCAAACATTTTATTGAATTCAATATAGAAAACGCAGTCGAGAAAAGCGGCCACATGCACGTAACATTATTTCAGTACAAGTTCAAGTTATCGCATGCAGCCTACATGATGAAAACGACTGAATTTACTGCTGAACGTTTCTTTTCTTACAAGTTCACGACTCGATTTTAAACAGTCATAAGGTAAATAACCCTTAATAGGAATTTTATATATTGGATTATATACAGTCACACTTGAATTCCTATTGACTTGTATTCATGCACGGTAAACAACTTTGACATAATAATACCTTAGATGCTAAAATGTGAATTGTGAGTCACGTGTAAAGCAGCGGACAATGTCAGTTTTAAGGTGAAATTTATTATCAAAATGTAAACAATGAACTACGGTACATGTAAAAAGTTGATTGCTTTCTTGAAACAAACTGTAGTACAGGTTCCTTTTTAATCGCTTTTTTGGCACTGCGGAGCAAATACATGCAGATAACATGCATATTTACGTTTCCTTGTTGTTCACCATTACCCCCTAATTATAACTCTTTATCAAGTGATGTTGCAGTATTGTTATCACACAAATGCTCAATCATTGGTAAACAGATTGTAGTCCTCAAAAGCCCATTTTATGTTATCTAATTGTGATAAGATCCAATATTTTACAAGGCTCAAACAAATTATGTAGGTACAGAAAGATTTAGAGACACTTCAAAATTTCAAAATTTTTCAAGGCTTAAAGGTGTCTCTGAACCCTATCTACATTTTGAATAAAAAATTGCAAAAAAATTGTATTTTAACTTGCTTATCGCAAATGGATAGTAAACAATGGGTTTCACCGAGCCGTTTTTTAATTAATATCTTCTTAAAGCTACAGTGAAACGGACGTTGTGTTAACGGTTTGTATCTTTGCTATGGAAACCTACTACCACAACTTGTTCAGCAATGATTGGGCATTTGTGTCGGATAATAACATTGCAACATCAGTTGACAAATAGTTGTGGTATAACTGCTGGTAAGTGTTGGAAACTGTCGTTAGCCACCCTAACTAGACTAGGAAAACTTTCGCAAAAGTGTACATCTGTGGGCAAATTTGAGGAAAAGTTGGGAACACACTTTTCAAGATGAAAATTATGCACTGAACACGAAAATCCTGTTTACCAAGCTTGGTTCTGCCATTTTAACCTTCAAATTAGCTATTTAATTATACATAATTAAGACATGAAATCGAGGCTATATGTTCTATCACGTCACAACACACGGTAAAACTCTTTAAATATCAACAAAATGCAGCGGGTGAGAAGCGCAGTATGTTTATAAAATACTCTGTCGGTATTACATGGTAATCACGACATTTTCTGTTCACGTGACTCGAAAACGAGGCTAAAAGCTATTTCCTGATTCAGTTAAGGACGGTGCCTACTAAATACAACGGTTTTTGCGCCAGGTTAGGACCATGCGGAAAACGAAGGTCTTTGCCAGGGCTATCGGAATCCACAAAGAAAAATTGGGGTAGCCACGCATTTTTTCGAGATAATTAGCCTTGAATCTCAACAAAAATGCTGACATCAGCATTTTTCTGAAAAAAGAAGGAAATGATATTTCTTCACAGATTTCTTTCGAATTCACCTTTACATACAGAAAAGCAAACACATTTTTAAAGATCTTAAAACTTCATGGTAAATGGTAACGTAAAAACCATTCTGGTGTTTTTTTAAAAACAAAATCGTTGCAACAGCGCTTTTGGCGTCTGTGACAGCCTTTCTCTGGTTCAGCCAAAATACAGTCTAGATACCTTTTGCTCATAACCAGAAAGTAATCACGTGTTGAATTGACTTGCCACTTCCATTTTATAACATCAAATGTAGGGGTAACCACGCGTTTTTTTTTAAAGTTATTGATCCTTTTTCAAAACTTTTACGATGCCCTTTACAATTTTTTCCTATCTCCTCCCCAGCAAGTAAACCATTTGCATATCTCGCACTTGTTTTGCGCGCGCACTACGCCATCTGAACGTATATGTTTAAAGTTGGATTTCAGTATAATTTTCGACAGATAACAGCTAGTTTTTCAGCTGGACGACGTTGACAGTTAGTGGCTAGTGATATGCTGCTTTTCTGGTGTTCCTGGTTTAAGTGCAGGTTTATTACACTTGATTTGGTCACACGTGTACCGTCGAGTACTTGGTAGCGTAGTTGATTGTGTCATTGTCAATCCCAGCGCAATCGTGGCGCTCAACCATGCCTTGCGTGATGCACAGAACGTGTGCGAACTAACAAAAGTGGGCACCGTCCTTAAGTGAGAAGGAGGAGATTCACATAAGTTTTCGTAGCAAGGAAAAGCAGCTGCAACCTACAATTTCTTTCATTAGAGAGTTTAAGCATCACGTTTAGGGCAGAGGGCAAACGGCAAAGATTACCTCTGATTTTTTCATTCTCTTCTTGTAATCCTTAAATAAATCACACAAAAATCGACAAATGTCTTCTACTGTTCACCGCAAATAAAAATATTTTCATTCTACTGTACAGACAGCTGAAGACAGACAGCAAAAGTTTCAATTTTGCCGTTTGACGTAACGTCATGCTTAATCTCTCTATTTACAAATACAGTAGTACACCTGGATGAGTTGGAAGGCATCTTAAAATCCATAAAAGATTCTGGCTAAGTGAGTTTGGAACCTAGTCTGAACATCCTAAAAACAATCTCAATGCCATGAAAATCCTTCAGATAGCAGAGAAGTACAGACGCTCGGCAGTAGAAGCAGGACATTCTTGATATTTGATATTCGTCCTATAGAAGCAGAGACCAAATTTCAGATCACCTCTTTGAATAGAACTATTTTAAAAAACATGCTAAACAATTTAACAGTATTGTTCCATTTACTGCCCTTGGGTTTCAATAGCGTCATCATTAGCAACATCTTGGCAGCGGTCGTATTTAGTACTTCTGCATTTACATGCTCCAGAGCATGGTAATCCTACATTTCGGCAGCTACACTTCATTGTTTTGCTTCCTGAATTGCAGCCACAGTTTACCATCTCCTCACAGGTTTCAGGTAGGGGGGCAAGAGACATTAGCTTGGGTACGAGCTTGTCATTCAGTCTTAACCAGCCCATAGTCTCTGGAATTGGAAGGGTAGGGTTTGTCAGGTGGGCTTGTTTCCATATTATTGCTTGGAAGTGAGCCCTTCTAATATGCAATCACGCTTCATCACTCGTCGGGTGAAGAGCTTCAGGTGACCGACATCTGGAAAACAACGTTGCGCGTACTTCATTGCTCTCAGCATCAGCAACATTACATATTCTGTAGAGGAAGTTCTCAGCACACGTCATTGTCAAGTCATCCAGGTCACCATTTCCTAGGTTTCTCAGCAGCATGTGGTGTTCTGTGAACTTCTTCCACGATGTTTTCTTGCTATGGCCAGCAAAGTAGGAGACAGTGTTGCTCCCTGTTATCGCACGAAATGAGAGAATGGATTTCTACTGTTCACGAATCTTGTGCATTGGCAGATACTTAGGCTTCTTTGATGTCCTAGCTCTCACCCACAACTGCTTGCAGCTCATTTTGTCCAGGTGTGAAAATAAAAGGAGGAAAACATCCGTGTCTTGACATGAGACGACAAGGAATTCTGCATCTGAGTGTACACAGTGTAGAATCATTCAAGTCGCCGCCTCTTCATGGAAATCTTTAAGGGCTCTGATATCAATGTTCGGGCGGGAACACTTGACTGCATCTCCCTCTTCAAATCCACCACCAACAATGACGATCTTATTGACTGGGGCTCCCGCAAAAACATTATCTGATAAGAAAAGTGCTAGATCTGCCTTGTTTTAATCGAGGGCCACGAATTTGGACCAGAGCTTGGGTAGCAGTACTGAGCCGTCTTCAATAATTGTCGCATGGCCTAGAGAATGCTTCTTTCTAGTTGCGCACTTGATCGACGTTTCCCTTATCGGTCAAATGTCATGTCTATTCGATCAAAGTCCTTTCTAGAGGCAAGAACAGCTTTCACAAATTTATCAATCTGAAGGTCTTCCTAGCGCCATTGCCAGTGCTTAACCATCTACTATCAGCGTCGATCTCCCTGCGATTGGCGTGACCCGAGGACGTTCCATACCACTACTCAAAAGTTCCATCATGACCGATTTATTTCCAGTGCGCAGCTGACTACTGGCATCGAAAATGGCAAGGTGAACTGCCATTGGCTCATGGCTGAGAATTTGAGGCAAATCTACCTCTCTACCAACATAGCTGTAATGATGCGCTAAAGAGCGTTTCTGTCGGCTTTGATGGCCGCACACTTTCCAGCATCTTTCTTTTTGATCTCATAAAGGGTTGAAAATGTGGGAGCCCTATTTTTAGGCAGAGGGTCCCGGAGCTTCTTATGATGCCGATCTTCTCTTGGCGCCTTAACTCTATCCTTCACAAAGGTGATCAGCTCCTCCTGGCCAAAACTGTTTGCTTTAGGAATTCATCGGAATTATCCTGCAGTTTCCTCGACGGGTTGGACTCGTTGCATGTGATCTGATATCGTTGGCAACATGAAACATCTTCCTTGTTAATACAGCAATATGTGCCCGGAGGTTATATGACAGTGTCCATCTACACAGCGCTGCTTTCGCTGTCCTTGTTATGCCAACTATTCCACCACCTCTCTTTCCAGTATCATTGAGCCACTCCTGACCTTGATCCAGATCTACGTGATTAAATTGTCGAGAAGAACCTTTTACAACCCAGTTGCCCTTGTCAAACTC